TTCCTATTAAACACTGAAGTTGCTGAAGTTGACTCAGAGCTCCTCTCACCAGGCCAGTGCAACCTAATCAGTAAACTTCAAGATCTTCACAACTAATCTCCAAGGCCCCAAAGTTTCAAATAAAACCAAAAGTGAACACAGAAAGTGAACAAGAGAAGTTTTAGAAGCTACTTCCTAATTCTGGGTGGGCAGAAAATTGCCTTTTACTCTAAAGTAACATAGAACACTTTTCTTATCTATCACAGTATGATCTAGGAAATCTGAGGCAAAGGCACCAAACTATTTCCAAATGCAATGACTTGCAAACAGAGGATGGCCATGGCTCTGTGTCCCCTGAAATCTACTCAAACGTGCCTAGGGAAGGGAGACCAACACAGCACTCAACACACACAACAGTACCTATGTGACATTAGGAACCTTTTATTGAGACAAAGCAAACAGTGGCCTGAAAATACCACAGCATGAAGGCAGGCCGAGGAAACCAATCTGATCTCTTTTTCCTCTATGGCGGCCCAAACGACGAACTAAAGACACTCCAAGATTACTATTTATATTTAAGGCAATTTAAAAAGCGAGGTCTTAACCAAAAAGCCTGTACCTGGCATTCAAAAAAATACATTTTTTGGATGGACTAAAAGACCTAATTGGCTACGGAAAATCTGTACAGCAGGGACCTGTTTTCAGCAGGTAAGCCTATATACAAGTAAGAATCTCTTACTCTTGTAACATTGTCCTGTTTTAAGAGAAAATGTTTAACTCCCATGCCCTGCAGAGGTTTCTATGACCCCAGAGAAGCACAGACCTATCTCTATTAGAGAACTATTTACACTGCACTATAAATACACATACAACACACATCTGCCCCCTCCTATTTCCCAAATAGGCTGTGAATGCCTTCTGTGAGGGGTTATGGCTCATTCATTTTTATTATCTACAGTGATAATTAGTAGGCACCCAACATTTTTTTTTTTTTTGCATGAATGCTAAATAAAAATGATTTTACAACACCACTACTGGTTACATTTCAAACATTCCCACCATTACCCATCTCCAAAACAAAAACACTAAATTGCTACCAAGTTTACTATGTTTTTCACAATATAGCGCTTCAGGACTTTTTAATGTAAATAAACATTTCTGATTAACTAATTTTCAAAATAATGATACAAATTTAGCATTCTTCTTGGAATGGAAAATTTGCTTGGAGATTACTTCATTCTTTTTCTCTTTTTCAAAAGTGCATCTCGTAGTGCCAGCTGGAACATAAGAAAAAATATTTAAACATGGCAACTCTTGGGTACCCCGTTATACTAATTTGGTTATATGGCAGTGTACCAGACTGGAATCACTAAATCAACAAATCATCCTGAGATAATTGTGTGTCTTCGGTGTGTGATGGATACTTTCCATGAATTCCCAAGCACCATTCTTTGATTCCTAGTAATTTTTTAAGATCCCTAGCTTTTGAATTTTAACAATATAGATATGTGTTTTTATTTGTTTGCTTTGTTAAAGAATTTTTGGGGGTGGGATTGCCTGACTCTATCTAAATGTTCAAATTTCTTGGATTTTATGATTTTTAAATTATTGACTCCTTGCCTTTATTCATATCTGGGTCTTGGTATGTCTTTGTAGATGGGCAGAATAGCTAAGGATAGACACTTAAGGTAGAAAAATTAACAAGTTCATTTTAACCTAATTTGTATGGCTGAGGATGTATTTCTCAGACTCATCTGTGCCTTATTTTCTCATCTGTAAAATATAAAATCACAGTACTGCTCATATTGTTGTATACTGATTAAGTTAGTTAAAATAAAACGGAAAGCTCTAGAATAATCAAGGCACAGGGTAAGAACTATATGTTAGATAATGATGTTATAATCCAAGGTTACATAAGTTTCATTCTGCTCATTAAACTTTGTAATAAAGCACAGACTACTCACTAGTCTCACACATATCTCAGTTCCCTTCTCCCTTCAACTGCTACCGTTTGAACATAAGGAACCTGTATATTCTCCTTCCTCTTCCTTTATACCTTTCTAAAGGCCTGACTTCAAGATCCTCCTCTCTCTGCCATAAGCTTCACCTTCCTTTTCTAGTCTCACCTTTTTACATATTCTTTTTTTAAAAGTTAATATTTACTTGTTTATTTAACAGAGAGAGAGAGTGCACAAGCAGGGGGAATGGCAGGCAGAAGCAGAGGGAGAAGCAGGCCCCCCTGCTGGGCTCTATCCCAGGGCCCTGGGATCATGACCTGAGCCGAAGGCAGATGCTTAACCGACTGAGCCACCCAGGTGCCCCACCTTCTTATATATCCTATGAGTATACTCTAAAAATGTACAGTAAGACCTCATGTACACTTTTAAGCTATGTAAGACCCTTTTATTCAGGACAATAAAATACCACTGAGAGGTAGAAGGGGTATAAAATGTGATGCTCCTTTTCCAGAGGGTGCTTCGGGTGTGTGAGATAATAGAAAATATATACTGGTCTCTAGCCCTGGTTCCTGGCACAGAGCTCCTAAAACTGGTAATTTCCTAAGTGATAAGGACATCTCCTTTTAATATTTGTCTTTGACCCGGTCCCTGACACAGGGGTCCCAAAACCCTTGTAAATTCCTAAGTGATAAGAGCACTAGGAGCATCTTTTGTACTAATGAGGCAAGTAAGTGGGCTCCTGGAGAGGGGCTGATCCAAGAAAGACCTTGGAATTTTTGGCAGCCCTCACCCCCAACCCACACACTTTTCCAGAGAGGGGAAAGAGGCTGGAAATTGAATTAATAATTGATCATGCCTATGTGATGAAGCCTTCAAAAAACCTCCTTAGTGTGAGGTTCTGAGAGCTTGCAGGTTAGCGAACACATCCGCACCGGGAGGGTGATGAATCCCACTTCTGTCCACAGGGACAGAAGCTTCTGCATTCAGGACCCTCCCAGACCTTGCCCTATGTATCTTTTCATCTGGCTGTTCATCTATATCCTTTATCACATCCTTTAATAAACGGGTAACCTTAAGTAACCATTGCGCTGAGTCCCATAAGCAGCTGTAACGAATTAATCAAACCCAGGGAGAGGGTCACTGGTCAGAAACAGAGGTTATCACCTGGGCTTGCGACTGGTTTCTGAAGTGCGTGTGTGTGTGTGTGTGTGTGTGTGTGTGTGTGTGTTTTGGGGGAGGAGGGCTGCGGAAGGTGGCAGGTGCAGTCTCATGGGACTGAGCCCTTAACCTGTGAGATCTGACACTATCGCCAAGAAAACAATGTCAGAATTGAATTGTAGACACCCAGCCAGTATTACAGAAAATTGCTTGTGTAGGGACAAAACCTCCACACACTGGGTGACCGTAAATGTCAGAAGTGAAGTATAATGTGTGAGTAGCAAAAGAAACACACAAAAGGTAGACTGAAATGGGTTTTTCTATTTTAGGGTCACAGGTCAGTTTGGGGGATGCTCTGAAGTTGCACTGCCCAATCCAGTAGCTACTAGTTACATGTGGCTTTTGGATGTTTGAAAAATGGCTAGTCCAAACTGAGATGTGCCACAAGTGTAAAACACACACTGGATTTCAATTAGTTCTAAAACAAGAAGGTACGGTATCGGGGCGCCTGGGTGGCTCAGTCGGTTAAGCGGCTGCCTTCGGCTCAGGTCATGATCCTGGGGTCCTGGGATCGAGCCCCACGTCCGGCTCCCTGCTCAG